TATATTCAGTTTCAACCTTAAAAATATAATCAAGTATTAAGAAGCTTTCATATTAAACATTATTTTAATGCACTAAAATTTATTCCTATCATATTTTTAAAAACTCATTTTTCTCAGACTTCCCAACCCAGGAACCACTAGCTCTGCGGTCCCCCAACCCAGGAACCACTAGCTCTGCGGTCCCCCAACCCAGGAACCACTAGCTCTGCACTCTCCCAGCCCAGGAACCACTAGCTCTGCACTCTTCTTGATGCAACTCCTTTCCATTTGTACGTTCCCAGCCCAATCTTGGAGCAAAACTGCTCTGCTCTATGTAATGTAGCCAAATGGGACTGGGATTGGAAGTGCTCATTGGCAAGGGAGATGTAGTTTCACATCAACGTACGTAATCTGCTGTGTCAATTCTCAAAATTTTGTACCTGTCCAGGACAGTCTACATGCAGAATTATCCCAAGAAATGGAGGCAGACATAATGGCCTTTCAAAGGCTCTCCAGTATTATCCCTGATAATTAAATGAAATTATGGGACCTCTACTTTCATTGATTGGAAAAATATTTCTTCAGCATTATTAGGCCTCTAAGACATGTATTATTGATTATATAATATTGGGGCTCTTTTCAGTTTAAGTTAAATTATTTTGTTTTGTTTTCAATTCTCACCCGAGAATACTTTACCACTGACTTTTAGAGAGAGTGGAAGAAAGAGGGAAAGACAGAGAAAAATATTGATGTGAGAAAAACACATTGGTTGCCTGCCTCCTGTACGTGCCCTGACCAGGGCCTGAGCCCGGGAGGAGCCTGCAACCTAGGTAAGTGCCCTTGACCGGAATCGAACTCGGGACTCTTCGGTCCACAGGCCAATGCTCTATCCACTGAGCAAAACCAGCTAGGGCAAGTTAAATTGTTTAAATTTAACTTTATCTTTCAATGCAGCAAACACTGGAGAAGTAAAAGCATTACAGTCAATATAAAAGCCTCTTATTAAACTCCTAATTTTCCACAGATTTCTATATCTATTAAAGAACTTTCTCCCCGAGGGAATAAATGCTAAAATGATTCTCCCAATCTGAAAGGAAATTACTTAAAACATTTCTAGGATGCTCTTGGTATTTATTCTCGATTCCTGGCACAAAAGAATTTTTTCTTTATAAACCTATGAAATTGCACAGTGCTCTATGCATTTCATATAATGCATCATCATTCACAATCATTATCATATAATCACTACCAACTGTTAACTGTTAGTGAATGAATGCAGCCATATGTAAAGGGTGATAATTCATATGGATCCATTTCTTTTAGGTTCTTACTGTTGGTTCTAAAGACATATTTATCTAGACTCTTTCATCTAGGACATTTAGGGGGAAAAAATGAACCAAAACCACAAATCTCCTTGCATGCCAATATACACAGGTATAATGCCACAAAGATTTCACCTTGGATACTCCAGGATCAACAATATATATTTTTCAGGAGGGTTGTATGCCTACAACATTAAAGAATAATTCTGCTGGGGCTAGAAGGCAAGAACAGATGAATGATTCTGCATGCAGCTTTTAACAAGAGATCAAAGCAGAATCAAAAGAGAATTTTATTCTAACTTTGATATTATCTTTCTTCAAGGAAATGAATTACAATTTTTGAAAACAATAAAAATGAGATTAATCTATAGAGGTAGAATAGTCGTTAACCCTGGGGAGGAGAACGACTGATTAGAAAAACGCATGAGGGTACTTTCGGGGGAGGGGGGATAAAAATGTTCTATATCTTAATTTGGGTATAGATTACATGGGTGTATGTATTTTTTAAGACTCATCCAACTATATACTTAATTTCTGTGAATTTTATTGTGTATAACCATACTTCAATAAAAATAAAAAAGGAATCCCTAGCTGGTTTGGCTCAGTGGATAGATCAGCCTTCAGACTGAAGAGTCCAAGGTTTGATTCCGGTCAAGGGTACATGCCAGGTTGTGGGCTCAATCAACAGAGGGGTGTGCAGGAGGCAGCTGATCAATGATTCTCTCTCATCATTGTCGTTTCTGTCTCTCTCTCCCTCTCCCTTCGTCCCTGAAATCAATTATATATATATGAACAAATGACAATAATGAAAATCAAGTAAGAAGCAAAAAATTTGAGTTCAAATCCTAGAAAGAACATTGGCTAGGTATGTGACCTTCTACATGACACTTGCCCTTTGGGTGTTCAGATTGTTTTATAAAGCATAACATTTGGACCATGGGGTCATTAAAAAAACACTTTAGAAAGAAAACAATGATACAACCAACACTTATTCTTTCCTCCCTACACTAACTGGGGTCATACTTTTCTTTCATAATGGGGGTACATCAGAATCATGGCCCTTCTCACTCCTCCAGAACATCTCTATATGTGATGCCACCATAAGGGGAGCTGGGAGTCCCAAGGAAGAAGGAAAAAAGTAAAAGATGTACCCAAGGCTTGGTTCAGTAAATCAGTAGAAAAGCAGCAAAAATTTTTCCCAGAAATTTAGGGAACTAAAATGGGAAAAGACAAGCCAGGTAAGTGTGGATTCACTGCCAGTGACCACAAAACCAATTGTGGGCTCTTAGAAAATGTCCCATGTGGGTGGCTCACTGAAGACTCCTACTGCCTGGAAGGGAGTCTCCATGGAGAGAAGGTGGCCAGGGGCAGTGAGTGCGACTTCCTAGCACTGAGGCTGACAGCCAGCGTTCCCTCCAGCCCCAAGGACAAGAGGACAACGCCAGCAACTCTTGCCCCAAAAGTTCTTTCACATCCGCCTCAGAAGTACCGATACCCTCTATTGACTGAAGGGATTCTCATTCTGAAGAAAAGAACTCACGATGTATCCACTTCTTACCTCTCTCCGCATCTTTGTGTACGGATCATCTGGACACTTTCCCGGGGGGTTTAATCTGACTCCTATTTTCTTCAAGAAGTTTTTTGTGAATGGATTACAGTCATAAATCTTGAAAGTCCGGGCATAAAAGACAACATCTATGTTGATATTGAAATCATACACAGTATAAAACTTTTCAACATTAGGAGGTGGAAGAGGAATCCGGTGACGCCGGATAAAAGTCCCTGTGGTGTGAAATAAAATACAATTGTTTCATCATGCAGCTAACAAGGAAGAGGTCACAGCACATATCAGTCACAGCCCCAGATGCTTTCCTACAACACTGATCTGGGCAAAGGGCTTTTTCTTGGAGGCAGCATTAGTATGTTCAAACTCTGAGGAAGCCAGAAGAAGCTGAGACTTCTGAGGTCCAGAGTTATCTGACCAGTCTTACCTATTATTAGAATTGCCTAAGTGGTACTAGGGAAGTACTTTAATAAACCATGAAGACTAGGGTAGGAGGGAAGAAGCGGGCATAAAAAGTGAACTAATACACCAGACACTGCCACCATGTCTTTTCCCAGAACAAGCATGGTCACTTTCACCCAATGTGAGCACACTAAAAAAGGCACTAAGAGTCGCCATGGCAACAGCTTGCGATGATGCCTTTTTCTTCCCAGTTTCTGGGTGTCCCTTCAGGTCTTGTGTTCTAAGCTGTGAGAAAGGGAGGGTGTGGGAGGTCTCTGATACGACACTGTGGAGGAAGGAAGAGACAACAACTTTGACGGTGTAAGCACCGACCACCTTAAAATGGCAGTTACTGGAAGAAATCCACTTGAACTGAGTTGGAGGGTGCTGCATGGGCCTCCCATGCTGGGTGTAGGGTTCACGTCCTCACCAATTGAGGGTCTACATCTGTGTGTGCCCTGCCATTCAGTGCTGAAGCCACTGAAATTGACGTGACATCAGCAGTGTGATTAATGACAGATTTCTTAACTCTAAGACTGCTATACAAATTATCTGATACCTCTTGTGGTTGTTGCCAGGATTGAGTAAAATGCATGTAAACCACTTAGCATTAGTTTATAATAAGCATTCAGTGGAAGTTAGCTGCTGCTATTGCTATTGTTCTGTTCACTTATTCACTATAGTATCTTAAACACTTAGCACAATGCCTTGAACACAATAGGCATTCAAAAGTATGTGTTGATATACTCTGGTTTCTTTTCAGACCATATAAATCTTCCACCTTTTACAAAACTGTGTGTTGAATAATTCTGTCATCATTTCAAAAACCAAAGCAATAAGACCCCAAAGCAGATTGCTTACACAAAATGCATACTCTTGGCTCAAAAATATAAGCTAATAAGCTGCATTATAGTAGGTGACAACACTATGATTTACAGCTCCTGTAGCATAAATGACTTTATGCTGCTTTGAAGCTTTGTAGAACCTTCTTTCCTCTACCACCCTCTTCTCTCTTCTTCTTCCTCTATAGCAGTGGTTGGCAAACTGCAGCTCGCGAGCCACATGCAGCTCTTTGGCCCCTTGAGTGTGGCTCTTGCACAAAGTACCACGTGTGGACGCGCACGTACAGTGCGATTGAAACTTCGTGGCCCATGCGCAGAAGTTGGTATTTTGTGGAAAAGCCACACTGAAGGGGCCAAAGAGCCGCATGTGGCTCGCGAGCTGCAGTTTGCCGACCACTGCTCTATAGCCTCTATCCACCTCCACCCAACCATACCGACAAAATGGGCATTATCATAAGCTCCATAGTTTTAGACAGTGCTCTGGGACAAGGGTTCTGATCTCATCCCATATTTTACTTCCAACCCTATAATGCCCATTCACTCCTTCTCTTGAGAATATGGACCCCAAACGCTAAGTACACTCAAAATGGTGGTTTGCCACTGGATTCCCTTCCTAGATTAGGGCACCAACAACACCACATCATACCAGGAAACTTACCCAAACACTGCTGAAACCTGTTGGCAAGAACTGTTTACAGTTTGCAATTTTATCCTACTTGCAAGCTAATGGGTTAACCTGCCAAACATTCATGAATTCAGGCAGAAGGCTCAAGATGCTTTAGTTATAAACAAAGAGCAGTTTATTAACAGCAATGCTAGTCGTAAAAACATCAGCACTTTTTGCACCAGTTTCCTGAGCTTCAATTCCCACAAGTGATATCAGGTCCTGGTAACTCAAACCCACAGTGGGTTACAGGAGAGGAACCCTGAGCTGAGGGATCCCAACTCTATACTTATAATAGGGAAATATGCAAATTGGTTAGGATGCTGTCATGTAATGACCAAACAGCAGGAGGGCGGGGCAGCGAGCTACATGTGGTAGAGAGTAGGAGCGGCGGAGGGCGGGGCAGCCAGCTGAGGCAAGCGGCAGTGAGCTACTCGCATTCGTGCGCAGGGCCACTAGTCTTTTCTAATGGGAAACAATCATTCCTGCCTTTGGTCTCGGGGGGAGACATTACTTGGATTAGACTGGACAGTAAGCATGTCTGTGCTTCGTTATGGAATGAAACACCACCTCTATTTTCCAAGGCTATGAGCAAATCTGTAACTTACTCCAGGGGGAGATACTATCTTTGTCTTCCAAAGCTGTTTTCTATATAAACATCCTTGAACAGAGAGTAGTTGGTGCCTCTGCTTGCAAGATCTACAGGATTGCAAGATACCCATGAAGAATTACCTCTCAACATCGCTAACTTAGGCTTGACCATCTACTTTAAGAGCAAAGAGGCCTGACAGGTATGGCTCAGCGGTTGAGCGTCGACCCAGGAACCAAGAGGTCACCAGTTCAATTCCTGTCATGGCAAGGACACATGCCAGGATTTTAGG